GCTCCATTATAATCTTATGGGACCATGGTTGAATATGTGGTCCATCATCATTATGCAGCACATAATGGTATTAAGTACGTGTGAGAAATATTTGGATGGATAGGATTAAGTGGGGACATAAGTAAGTGTGAGAAATATTTGCATGGGAGAGAGAGCTCAGAGGCAGCGCAGTGACCTAGGTGTAAACTCTCCTTGTGCCCACGAGGGGTGTCAGCACACAGATGCTGTCTCTCTGCCCTACAGCATTGCTTGTATCATGAAGACAGATGATACAAGATGTGGAGGATCAGAATCAGCATGATTTATGTTCTGTGATGAACTTCTCCCTTAAGCACACTTATCACCCTCAGAGAAATTCCTATTCCATGTACCCTCTGTAATAAACCCAGAAATATTTGTGTGCCTATGCCTCACGTTCCCTGTACCTTGTTCTCCATACCTTCTAAATGAAGACTTTCATATATTTTGGAAATTTGCCTCTTACCAGATATATGGCATCTTAGTCCATTTCTTGTTGCTTATAACAGAATACCTGAAACTGAAAAAGAATTTATTTCTTATAGTTATGGAGACTGGGAAGTCCAAGGCCAAGGGGCTGCATCTGGCGAGTGTCTTCTTGTTGATGAGGACTCTCTGCAGAGTCCTGAGACAGCATAGGGCATCAAATAATGAGGGAGCTGTGTGTGATAACTCAGGTCACACTTCCTCTTTTTTTTTTTTTTTTTTTTGACAGAGTCTCACTCTGTCACCCAGGCTAGAGTGCAGTGGCACAATCTCGGCTCACTGCAACCTCCACCTCCCAGGTTCAAGCGATTCTCCTGCCTCAGCCTCCCAAGTTGCTGGGACTACAGGCATGTGCCACCACACCCAGCTAAATTTTTGTATTTTTAGTAGAGACAGGCTTCACCGTGTTGGCCAGGCTGGTCTCGATCTCTGGACCTCAAGTGATCCACCTGCCTCAGCCTCCCAAAGTGCTGGGATTACAGGTATGAGCCACCTCACCTGGCCACCCTCTATGTTTCTTATAAGGGTTATGGTTTCAGGTCTTACATTTCAGTTTTTAATGCATTTTGAGTTGATTTTTGTATATGGTATAAGATGAGGGTCCAATTTCATTTTTTTTACATGTGAATATCCAGTTTTCCCTAAGACATTTATTGAAAAGACTATCCTTTCCCCACTGAGTATTCTCGGTTCTCTTGTTGAAGATCAGTTGAACATATATGTGTAGGTTTAATTTCTGGGCTCTCCATTCTATTCCATTGGTCTATGTGTTTATTTTTATGTCAGACATAAAATGTTTTGATTACTATAGCGTTGGAATATAATTTGAAATCAGAAGTGTGATGCCTCCAACCATGTTCTCAAGATTGATTTGTCTATTTGGGATATTTTGTGTTTCCATTTGAATTTTAGAATTGCTTATACTACTTCTGTGAAAAATGCCATTGGAATTTTGATAGAGATTGTATAGAATCTGTAGATTGGTTTTAGTAGTATGGACATATTAAACATTTTAATTCTTCCAATCCATGAGCATGGGATATTTTTCCATTTATTTGTGTCGTCTTCTTTTTCTTTCTTCAATGCTTTATAGTTTTCAGCATACAGATCTTTTGCCTTTTTGATTAAATGTAGTCCCAACTTGAAAACAACAAAACAAATAACCAGTTTAAAAATGAGTAAAGAACCTGCATTTCTAGACATTTTTCCAAAGAAGACATAAATGGCCCGTGGGTATGTTAAAAGGTGCTCAACATCACCAATCACAGAAAAATGCAAACAAAAATCGCAAGGAGATATCACTTCACATCTTAGAAGAGCTATAACAAAAAAGACACAAGATAACGAGCATTTCTGAAGATGTGGAGAAAAGGTAACCCTTGTACAATATGGTGGAAATGTAAATTGGTTCAGCCGTTATGAAAAACAGAATGGAAGTTTCTGAAAAAATTTAAAAAGGACTATCATACGATCCAGCAATCCCACTCCTTGGTATATATCCAAATTAAATGAAATCAGTATCTCAAAGAGATATCTGCACTCTTATGTTACAATAATCAAGATACAGAAACAACCTAAGTTGGGGCCAGGTGTGGTGGCTCATGCCTGTAATCACAGCACTTTGGGAGGCTGAGGCGGGTGGATCACTTGAACCCAGATGGATCCACCAACAGATGGGTAAGTAAAGAAACATATATATAATGATATATTATTCAACCTTAAGAAAGAAGGAGGTCCTGCTGTTTGTAACAATATGGATGAACTTCAGCTGGGCGCGGTGGCTCATGGCTGTAATCCTAGCACTTTGGGAGGCCACAGCGGGTGGATCGCCTGAGGTCAGGAGTTGGAGACTGGCCTGACCAATATGGTGAAACCCCGTCTCTACTAAAAATACAAAAAAATTAGGCAGTATGGTGGCATGCACCTGTAGTCCCAACTATTTGAGAGGCTGAGACAGGAGAATTGCTTGAACCCACCAGGCGGAGGTGGTAGTGGGCTGAGATGGTGCCACTGCACTCCAGCCTGGGCAACAGAGAGAGACTTAGTCTCAAAACAAAAAACAAAAAAGAAAAAAAAATATGTAGCACACTTCAAATACAGTGGTCCCCCTTTACCTGCAGTTTCATGTTCTTAGGTTTCAATTACTCGCAGTTAACTGCAGTCTGAAAATATAGTATTTTGAGAGAGAGAGAGAAATTATATTCACACAACTTTTATTTCAGCATCATTTTATAATTGTTCCATTTTTAGTTATTATTGCTAATCTTCTGCTGTGCCTAATTTGTAAACTAAACTTTATTATAGGTATGTATATATGTATAGGGGAAACCAGTATATGTAGGGTTCAGTACTAACCTATCCCAGGTTTCAGGCATCTACTGGGAGTCTTAGAAAGTATCACCCATGGATAAGGAGGGGCTATACAGACATTAATTTTTATAAAAAAATAAATGGGGGCTGCTTTGCCTGTGGAGTAGCAATTCTTTCATTCCTTTGTTTTCTTAATAAACAGGATTTCATTTTAAAAAATAAAAAATAATGAATAAATAAATAAATAGGGCCAGGTTTGGTGGCTCACACCTATAATCCCAGCACTTTGGGAGGTTGAGGTGGGTGGATCACTTGAGCTCAGGAGTTTGAGACCAGCCTGGACAACATAGTGAGGCCTCATTTCTACAAAAAATACAAAAAATAGCTGGATGTGGGGGCTCATGTCTGTTGTCCCAGCTACTCAGCAGCTGAGGCAGGAGGATTGATTGAGCTCAGGAGGTTGAGGCTGCAGTGAGCTGTCATCAAGTCACTAAGCTCCAGCCTGGGCAACAGAGCGAGACACTGTCTCAAAATAAAAATAAAAATAAAAATAAATAAATGAAGACTCTTGCCTTGGATGCAATCCATCATATGCAACTGGTTGCTACCTAGTGCCTAGAACTCTTTCTGCCTATATGTGTTAACACATAGTAAATGATAATTAAAGAGAGAATAAAGTCGAGGACCTAATTCACATTAAAATATAAGCAACTCATTGGATCTACTTATCTCAACATATCTGCATTTTAATAAAAAATTACACCTTAACATTCCAAAATTGATCTCAAAAGGTGACATTTTACGTTCATCTACTGTTCAGTGGAAAGACAATTTGGGGCAATTGAGTGGTTTTCTTTGTGGTCCCCAAAAACTGTTACAGAAGAATAAAGAGAACAAGAGCTCAAATATATGAACACACACCCAAATGTTTTCAAACTTTTATGTCTGGGAAGAATATATTTGCTCTTAGTATATGACCCAACATATGAGTAAGGAGTCTTTTTTTTTTTTTTTTTTTTTGAGACAGTCTTGCTCTGTCACCCAGGCTGGAGCGTAGTGACATGATCTTGGCTCACTACAACCTCCGCCTCCTGGGTTCAAGTAATTCTCCTGTCTCAGCCTTCCAAATAGCTGGGATTACAGGCACTCATTAACATGCCCAGCTAGTTTTTGTATTTTGAGTGGAGACGGGCTTTCACCATGTTGGCCAGTCTGGTCTCGAACTCCTGGCCTCGAGATCTGCCTTGGCCTCCCAAAGTGCTGGGATTACAGGCTTGAGCCACCAAGCCTGTCTGAGGAAGGAGTCTTTTTTTTGTTGTTGTTGTTGTTGTTGAGACAGAGTCTCGCTTTGTCGCCCAGACTGGAGTGCAGTGGCCGGATCTCAGCTCACTGCAAGCTCCGCCTCCCGGGTTCACGCCATTCTCCTGCCTCAGCCTCCCGAGTAGCTGGGACTACAGGCATCTGCCACCTCGCCCGGCTAGTTTTTGTATTTTTTAGTAGAGACGGGGTTTCACCGTGTTAGCCAGGATGGTCTCGATCTCCTGACCTTGTGATCCGCCCGTCTCAGCCTCCCAAAGTGCTGGGATTACAGGCTTGAGGCACCGTGCCCGGCCGAGGAAGGAGTCTTAAAGGATGCATGAAGGTTTGTGAGTAACCCAGGTCTTCTCTGGATAATCTCCGTGCTCAGGCACCTCTCTTTTCCTACTCTGAACATTGAACAGGGGCAGAAGGAAGCAAGCCATGAGAGAGAGGGACAAGTGTGACCAGAAGGTCCTCAAGGGCCCAAAAGCAGAGCTCCTGAGAGCACAAATTCCCACAGGTGCATACTAAAAAATATTTATGTTTCTACTTTGGCAGAACTCAATTAGTTCCCAATGTACTGGAATGAAATGGAATAACGAGACATACCTCACTAAAAATCTAGGCTCCTGTCCAGAACTTTCCATTCTGTGAGACAGCAGTGGGCAGAAGGAGATGATAAAAGTAGGTAGAACTTAGCTCTGTATATATAGACCCAAAACTCCAGGGGCCTGTGAGGGAGAGAAGGGTAGAGAGGTCCTGAGTATCGTTCTTCATGCTTCAGTCAGACAGGCCTCTATTCCATGGGAAAGTTCATTGGCCATTTTTACCCGGGGCTATTTCTTTTCTCTTATGGACTATATCAGGCCACAGTGGTCTCCAAGGGCATGATACTCAAAGGTTGTGTCCTGTATCCTTTGTGCTCTCCGAGGAATAAGCAAAGATGTTCCAGGCTGTGGAAAATATCCTATGGAGGATTACTGAAGATAGTGACTGGCTCCCTCTTAACATTTTATGTGGTACTCTGTCTTGATAGCGGGATGGTGCTTATGAGCAAGCAGGTGCCATCAAGGTTCATGTACCCCAAAGAGTGGCAGCACCTCACCATGTTCATCCTCCTCACTCTCAATGGCTGCGTGGACTTCATGAGCAAGAACGTGCTGCCTCAGAGGTGTGTGGGCCTAGAAAAAGGTACCCTGGTCCTGATCATCTACCAGCTCCTGCTGCTGATGGTGTCACATGCTAAAGACTCAGAAGGGGTGGAGCTGCACGTTCACTCTCTGCTCATTTTGGTGGTGTTCCTGCTGTTGCTGGTGTTGACTGCACAGCTGTGGGCTCCCAACATGTGTCATCTCCAGCTGATGGAGACCTTTCTGATGCTGATGATGGGCTCCTGGCTGATGCAGGCAGGCTTTATTCTATACAGACCTGTCTCTGGCTACCCATGGCAAGACGATGACATCAGTGACATCATGTTTGTCACCACCTTCTTCTGCTGGCATGTGATGATCGATGCCTCATTCCTGTTGGGAATCTATGGCTTCTCTTCCTTTTGGTATCATTGTTACAGTCCCAGCTTGAAGCTGACCGGACCCAAAGAAGCTCCGTATTATGCAAGCACTCCAGGAGGACCCCTCTACAAGTTGCTACAGGAAGTGGAGCAGTCAGAGAAAGAGGACCAGGCTCTCCTTTTTTCAAAGAGCTCCCCCTGAGACAGGGCCTACAGTGACTGGCACGTTGTCCACCTCATCTTCCTCCTGTGGGCTTCTTAGCCATGAAAATGGCACCCTCTTTGGTCCCCAGTGAAGGGAATGGCCCTGAAGGACAGTAACTGGCCCCGACTGTTGTCCCTGTAGCTGGGCCTCAGATTGCTGAGGACATAGGGAGAGAGAAACCTGAAGAGGGGGCACAGATGGGGTTATGTGGATGGGGCAAAGTGGAAGAGGAGGAAGAGGCCCAAAGGGGTAGGAATGTGGCCAAGAAATATCCATAGCGGGAAGAGAACAATCAAAGGGAGGCCTCTGAAAGGAGGAGGGTGGAGCCCAGCAGTGATGCCCTCACCAGCTGTCTGGCCTGGTTTTTACCTAAGGAATAAAGACTTCTCACAAATCAAGATTGCAGTGATGGGTATTTCTGTTGGCCAGCTAAGGCGAAACAGCATAAATAGATGGAGTACCATTCACTTAACCCACCTGATTGAAATAAGAATCCCATATATATTTTTAACTTGAGTGGATTAGCATAGTTTCAAATTCTACACATAAAGTGAGAATTAAAACTGTTTACATCATAGTTTTTCAAGTCTCCATAAACCAAACTTTCACTAAATGCCACCACATCTCTAACTCCTGACCTCTAACCCAGCCAAAGCAAAGTGTTTTTCTACTTGTTTAACCACCACTAGCCCCAGCAGCAGTTTACTAGATCCTGATTTACTGGAGCCTACACTTGAGCCTTTCCAAATAACGCTCTCTACAAAACCCATCGGCAGTCACATTTTTACTACACAGTGTCATTCTACACTCAGCAATAAATTTCATGTACCACTTCCACCAAAAAGACCTCCTCCAGAAAATTCTCATAGACTCCTTGGGTCTGGAGATCTTCAGAAACTCTGTAAATCTGTGTTGCTATTTGCCCGTGCTGCTGATATACTCTCCTTTGCTCTGTATCTCATATTGCCCCTCTCCAGGAGGTTTTGCTCCACCAACTACAAGGCAGGCTCCCGAACAGCAGGGAATTTATCCTATCCTTGTTACCCATTTCCGCTGCATGTTCCAGAAGAATATAACATTGTCCTCTGCACAGTTCATGCGTAATAAAGTCTCATTTGCTTCAGGCCCCTCCCTTTCCTGTCTCTTCTAAATGTAGTGTCTGCTCTGTGAACTCTCAGAGAGGCAGTCATGGGCTAAGACTGCATCACATAGCAGCAGGTCTGAGTATAAAATAAACTCCACTGACCTGTTTAGGAGATCGGTTTACTCTGTGTATCATCTTTTACTGGACCTCTATGAGGTATGCCCCATTGGCTTCCCAGATGTCTCCATTTTACATACAAAAAACTGAAGACTTCCACAGGTGTCTGTGCCCAAAGACTCACGGCTGGTCAGAGACACGACAGGAACATATGCTCTGAAAGTCAAGCCCCTGCTTCTGTTGTCTGGGCTCAAATGACTTCTCTGCAGAGAAAGGTGGAGGAGTGTGACTGATGTGGAAAACAAGATGGGCAGAAAGCAGATGGCAAGAAGCCCCGGTGTGCATGAGTAGAGCACTGCAATGACCCCTAGGCCTCCTAAAGAGTATGTGCACATCATACCTTCTGTCTGTATCTTAGGCTGCCCTGGGTGTGCAGAGGATGCTGGGCTTCCATACCCCTGGCAGGGCTAATGTTTTGGGTACAGGTCAGACTGGAGCCTGAGACAAGATGCTTCGAATCCTTCTTGTTTATTGGATTATGTCTAATTACTGGGCTCTTTTTCATTATTTATCATCTGGGCTCTCATTTTTTATTGCCTTTTTTATTTTTTTTTGTTTTGTTTTGTTTTTGAGATGGAGTCTTGCTCTGTCACCTAGGCTGGAGTACAGTGGCATGATCTCAGCTCACTGCAACCTCCGCCTCCCAGGTTCAAGTGATTCTCCTGCCTCAGCCTCCCAAGTAGCTGGGACTACAGGCATGTGCCACCATGCCCAGTTAATGTTTGTATTTTTAGTAGAGACAGGGTTTCACCATGTTGGCCAGGCTGGTCTTGAACTCCTGACCTCAGGCGAGCCGCCCACCTTGGCCTCCCAAAGTGCTGGGATTACAGGCATGAGCCACCGCACCTGGCCTTATTGCCATTCTTGAATATAGTCATGGTAAATAATAAAGAAACCACTTCCTTATTGATCTCATCAAGTCATTCATATCCTAATTCTAAACTGCTAAGCAAATCTCTGATAATTAGTGAATTTCTCCCAACATAATATCTCATAAAATATGTCTTCAGCTAATATATCTGCATTTGTAGAAACATTTAAATTGAGTGTACTCCTCTCCAAAAACATTCCCAATATAAGTTTAACAAAATTCAGCAAACCCATTGTTAAATATATCCGAGAAAGGAACACTGAGACAGCTCAAGCATTTTTTTCCCAGAAGAAAAAAATGAGGGAGAAAATTGCTTTGCCAGCTTTCACAATCCATTATGAAATTAACTCAAGAATTAAAACAGTGTGGTATAGGAGGAAGCAAGTAACATAGGTCCATAAATCAACATGGTATAGCTTAATAGAGGCTCCAGAAACAGAAATATGGAATGTGAGAATTAAATACATATTATGAATGGTTTATTCAATTAATGTGAGGAATAACTGGCTTTTTGTTTGTAGAAACAACAGCTTTGTTTCAAGGTGTAGGCAAGGTTTGTTCCTCATAGATGCTCTGATGTAAAATATGCTGCGTATCTCCCTCCTAGCTTCCAAAGACTGCTGGTAGTCTGGCATTCCTTGGCTTATACCGGCATCACTCCCAAATATGCCTCCAGCTTCACATTGTCTTCTCCTGTGTGTTTCTCTGTGCCTTTAATCTCCTTCTGCTTTTCTCTTACAAGGACACCTGCCATTGGCTTTAGGGCCCACCCCAAATCCAAGGTGAGCTCATCTTGAGATCCTTAACTTAATTATATCTGCAAATACTCTTGTCCAAATAAGATCACATTCACAGGTTCTAGGGTTTAGGACTTGGACCTATCTTTCTGGGTGCCACCATTCAATTCACTATCCTTTCATATATAAAGAAGTCTCATGTCCCATGTCCTACCTCCGTTTGGGGCCTAGAGGCAGTTAACAGCTCCAACTATTACTCAAGTATCCTTATGGTCTCCTTATACTCTGTCCACATCTGTAAAAGAAGTACCTTTATTTATGTATTTTATGTATTTATTTTTGAGACAGAGTCTCACTCTGTCACCCAGGCTGGAGTGCAATGGTGCAATCTCTGCTTATTGCAACTTCTACCTCCCAGGTTCAAGCAATTCTCCTGCCTCAGTCTCCTGAGTAGCTGGGATTGCAGGTGTTCGTCACCAGACCCAGCTAATTTTTTTTTTTTTGTATTTTTAATAGAGATGGGGTTTCACCATGTTGGCCAGGCTGGTCTTGAACTCCTGACCTCAGGTGATTCACCTGCCTTAGCCTCCCAAAGTGCTGAGATTACAGGTGTGAGCCACCGCACCTGGCCCAGAAGTACCTGTATGAAACCCTCTGTGAACTATCCCAATTTGGGTTTCCATCTATTTCTAATTGAAACTGTACCTGAAACAGCAGTGGAGGAATTATACTGCAGGCCAAAACCTTAGAAAGAGTTTACCCTCAGATGTTGGTAAGAGTGAAAAAAGAAAACTTTCACTACTGAATTTCACAAAAGTGAAGATCCAGTGAAGGACACTTATTTGTAAACATGTGGTTAATAAATAGAGATTTTTCACCTCCAATCAAAATGACCAAGGGATTAATTAATATATTTAGGAATCCTAAAGAGCTACTCTTTTCAAGGAACTATGCAAGGATTGGCAATAAAATAATGAGAAAAATACAAATAACAATATACATAATTATATTGTAACTATGGTAATGGATGAAAAGGATAATTAGATAGTTTGGTAAGCAGAATTCTAAGATGGTCCCCAAGATTCCTGCTTTTGGTGTACATATTCAGGTTAATCACCTTCCCTTGAGTGTTGCTGGGACCAGTTCATATAAGGAAATATAAAATCTAAGCTTAGTTACTAATCAGTTGACTTTGAATTAATCAAGAAGAAGATTGTCCTGGATGGGTCTGACCTAGTCAGATGAGCCCATAAGAAGAAGGTGAGTCATCAAGGATTCACTCCTGCTGGCCTGGAAGAAAACTCACAGCCATGTCATGATTTGTCTATGAAAGCCATGTGCCAAGAACTGAGAGCAACCTCTAGAGCAGAAGATTCAGCCGGCTCCTGTTGGATTCCTGACCCATACGAACTGTGAAATGGTCAGTTTTCATTGTGTGTGCTCCTAAATTTGTGTTAATATATTGTTACAAAGAAATAGGAAACTAGTAAAGGTGGTGTTAAATTTTAGTAAAGGTTTATCCAGCACTGTGAGCAGTAGAAAAACACTGTATCATACTGAGACTTGTGGCCCTGTAACAGAAAGATTTTATCCAAAATGAAGTACGTGTACAAAGAGGAGCTAGTACCATTCTTACTGAAACTCTTCCAAAAAATCTAAGAGGAGGGATCTCTTCCTAACTCATTCTACAAATGCAGTATTACCCTAATACCACAGTCAGGCAAAAATACAACAGAGCAAGATTCCATCAAAGAAAAAAAAAAGAAGAAGCAGGAGAAGGAGAAGGAGAAGGAAGAATCCAATGTCATTTTCTATAGCCACACAAAAAAATAAAAACTAGAAATACATTTGACCAAAGAGGTGAAAGATCTCTACAAAGAAAACTACAAAATACTGACAAAATAAACTGTAGAAGACACAAATAAATGGAGAAACATCCCGACACCCCATACTCATATACTGGAAGAATCAATATGGTTAAAATGACCATATTACTCAAAGCAATCTACAGATTCAATGCAATTCTTATCAAATTGCCAACATTATTTTTCACAGAATTAGAAGAGCAATCCTAAAGTTCATATGGCTCTATAGAAAAGCCTAAATAGCCAAAACACTCCTAAGCAAA